TGTAACTGTCAAACGAAATAATTTTGTTTTGCTTTAGCCAGTCAGTCGGACAATTGTCGTTATGTATTTAAGCGTTAAAGAATATTAAGGGTAATCACAGTTAAAGATTTAAGGCAATTAAAAACTAATTAACAAAACATATGATTTGGAAACTGTGAATTATATTGAAACTTTTTCCATCAAAGTTTTCCTGCAAATCTCTTTTTTATGTCAAGTTGTATTATGTTTTATAACAACTTTCCAGTTTAAGTATATTTACTGGTTTATGTTATCTTATTTTTGCGTTAAATATAATAAAATTTAATTCTTTTCTTGAATTTTATTATTTTAAATGAATACCTGTAATAAAAATTTTACTGATAAAAGTGTTTGTTATCCATTGTATTTTAGTTTTACTTAATTGCTTGTATAAAGAGTAGTATAAATTTAACTTTGTATATTATACAAATTAATTAAGCTAATTATTTTTAATAATTTCACATTCCAAGTTTTAATTAATTTTAAACGAAAGATTTCAAACAATTCAAAATTTGTTTAGATTACATGAAATGGAAAATCAGACTATACAATTAAAAGTTGTATGAAATTAAACATTCGCAAACCCAGTGAACAATTTGTGTTCACACTAAGTATAAGGTTACATTTAAGTGTTCACACTTATACATATATTTCTTAAAATATTTGTTTTATTTTAAAGTATCCTTCATTCAGTTATTTCTACCTTTTGCTACCGATAAGTGGTACTATTTGCTGGGATACTTATAGTAAGAAGTACTTTTTAATATAATTACAATATTTTATATTTAATTGCGGTTTTATCTATATAAAACTAGCGATTTTTATAGGAATACTTTGCTATTTAAATAGTTTATCTTAACAGAAGTCACATTAAGAAAAATCTAATAAAAATATAGTTTATCCTACTAAAGTAGATCTCCTACTTATATATGCAAATCATTATGCAAAATAATTCTAATATAACGTTTTAAAATTGTAATTTTAAGACGATATTTTATAAAAAACAAAGGAAACTGCTTTGTAACCGGATTCGTTATAAACAATGATCGAAATTGAATATTAAATACATTGTATCTCGAATTTCGGAGTAACTTTCAAGTAACTTTCTTGTTTCCGAAATAGTTGTGAAGATTTAATACGGAAAAAAGTACTTAATTAAGGTAGAAGTAAACAACACGCGTTGAGGGGGCAATCAAAATGTAAAGTTTTAGTATATTTCTGAATATTTTTCTTCCATTGTTGAAGAAATTTATTTCATTTTAGTTTATTCTTATTCATAACAAAGCAAAATACAACCCTGATCAGCTGCCGACGCGTCAAAAGTTGAAAGTTGCTGAACTTTTTGCGGCAGACGCGTTACAAACTACAATGTGTAACTTATTAAATGAAAATACACTATTTCAACTTATTTTTTGACAGAAGCCTATAACGCGTTGCCGCGTACAACGCGGGTTGTGTGCTTCCACCTTTAGTCGTAAGAATGTTGCGTTATTTTGGGATGTTTCAAAAAGCACCTAATGAGTGCAAATTATAAGCAATTTTGAGTTAATTGGACCAAACTTTATTTTTATTGCCTTAAAGAGTTATTATTAAAGACATTATCTTCATAAATTTTATACTATATTCAGTTATCTATTGACATTTATTTTTATTACAATAAACATTTTAATAAAACACGTGTATTTTTATATAAAGGTGTGTTCGTTGTTTGCCAAATGTTGACACAACTTTGTGGTCTCATAAAACATTGTTTTGGCGATAAGATATGTGTAAAGAGTTCTTGGTTAGAGCAGGTCTGTGTCAGAATTTTTATGATTTGGTACAGGTCTGGGGATTTGTCAAGATCAAAATATGTATAAAAATTACCTATAGATAGGTAGATAGATAGATAGATAGATAGATAGATAGATAGATAGATAGATAGATAGATATAGGATAGATAGATAGATAGATAGATAGATAGATAGATAGATATATAGATAGATAGATAGATAGATAGCCGCTAGCTGATCGCTCGCTCGCTAGATCGATCGCTCGCTCGCTCGCTCGCTCGCTCGCTCGCTCGCTCGCTCGCTCTCTCGCTGCTCGCTCGCTCGCTCGCTCGCTCGCTCGCTAGCTCGCTCGCTCTCGCTGCTAGCTGCTGCTGCTCGTCGATAGCTGCTGCTCGCTCGTCTCGCTCGCTTCGCTCGCTCTCTCGCTCGCTCGCTCGCTCGCTCGCTCGCTCGCTCGCTCGCTAGATCGCTCGCTCTCTCGCTCTCCTCGCTCGTCGCTCGCTCGCTCGCTCGCTCGCTCGCTCGCTCGCTCGCTGCTCGCTCGCTCGCTCGCTCGCTCGCTCGCTCGCTCGCTCGCTCGCTCGCTCGCTCGCTCTCGCTCGCTCGCTCGCTCGCTCGCTCGCTCGCTCGCTCGCTCGCTCGCTCCTCGCTCGCTCGCTCGCTCGCTCGCTCGCTCGCTCGCTCGCTCTCTCGCTCGCTCGCTCGCTCGCTCGCTCGCTCTCTCGCTCGCTCGCTCGCTCGCTCGCTCGCTCGCTCGCTCGCTCGCTCGCTCGCTCGCTCGCTCGCTCGCTCGCTCGCTCTCGCTCGCTCGCTCTCGCTCGCTCGCTCGCTCTCCTCGCTCGCTCGCTCTCGCTCGCTCGCTGCTCGCTCGCTCGCTCGCTCGCTCGCTCGCTCTCGCTCGCTCGCTCGCTCGCTCGCTCGCTCGCTCGCTCGCTGCTCGCTCGCTCGCTCGCTCGCTCGCTCGCTCGCTCGCTCGCTCGCTCGCTCGCTCGCTCGCTCGCTCGCTCGCTCGCTCGCTCGCTCGCTCGCTCGCTCGCTCGCTCCCGCTCGCTCGCTCGCTCGCTCGCTCGCCTCGCTCGCTCGCGCTCGCTCGCTCGCTCGCTCGCTCGCTCGCTCGCTCGCTCGCTCGCTCGCTGCTCGCTCGCTCGCTCGCTCGCTCGCTCGCTCGTCGCTGCTCGCTCGCTCTCTCGCTCGCTCGCTCCTCCTCGCTCGCTCGCTCGCTCGCTCGCTCGCTCCTCGCTCGCTCGCTCGCTCGCCCTCGCTCGCTCGCTCGCTCGCTCGCTCGCTCGCTCGCTCGCTCGCTCGCTCGCTCGCTCGCTCGCTCGCTCGCTCGCTCGCTCGCTCGCTCGCTCGCTCGCTCGCTCTCGCTCGCTCTCTCGCTCGCTCGCTCGCTCGCTCGCTCGCTCGCTCGCTCGCTGCTCGCTCGCTCGCTCTCGCTCGCTCGCTCGCTCGCTGCTCGCTCGCTCGCTCGCTCGCTCGCTCGCTCGCTCGCTCGCTCGCTCGCTCGCTCGCTCCTCGCTCGCTCGCTCGCTCGCTCGCTCTCTCGCTCGCTCGCTCGCTCGCTCGCTCGCTCGCTCGCTCGCTCGCTCGCTCGCTCGCTCGCTCGCTCGCTCGCTCGCTCGCTCGCTCGCTCGCGCTCGCTCGCTCTCGCTCGCTCGCTCGCTCGCTCGCTCGCTCGCTCGCTCGCCCTCGCTCGCTCGCTCGCTCGCTCCTCGCTCGCTCGCTCGCTCGCTCGCTCGCTCGCTCGCTCGCTCTCTCGCTCGCTGCTCGCTCGCTCGCTCGCTCGCTCGCTCGCTCGCTGCTCGCTCGCTCGCTCGCTCGCTCGCTCGCTCGCTCGCTCGCTCGCTCGCTCGCTCGCTCGCTCGTCGCTCTCTCGCTCGCTCGCTCCTCGCTCGCTCGCTCGCTCGCTCGCTCGCTCGCTCGCTCGCTCTCTCGCTCGCTCTCTTCGCTCTCGCTTCTTCGCTCTCGCTGTTCTCCCTCCTTCCCCCCCTGCTCGGGCCTCCCTGGCCTCCCTCGGTCCCCTTTGTAGGTTTCACCCCAAACAAGATTCCCTTCACATTTTTTCATAAATTTCAGAAAGTTCAATTTGGCATATGATCATCTATTATAGAAACAAAACCCATTCAAAATGGTTGAATTTCGACAAAATTGGAAAAGGAATCAAAAATGTGGCGACGTCAATCGTAAAACGAGGGATTACAGTAGTTCTACACTAACCATGTACACTTTATGCCTGGCTTATCAATTATTAGTTATTGAGAAAAAAACTGCAATTTAAGCTTATTATAGTTTTTTGTCAACCGCTAAAAAATCCCCATTATTTTAAATATATTTTTGTAATTGTATTATTTAAATAATATAACAAAATAATTTAGCTATTTTCTTAATTTGTTATTCTATACGTAAACTATTAAAGAAAACAAAAAGTTTTTTTTTACATTTTAAAAATTGGGTACTTTTTGCTCACACAATATGCTAATCAAAACTTAAATACTTTGTTTAGATCTAACATCATGTATGAATGTATATATAAATTATATAACTACATATCGTTATCTGAAATGGTAGAGATAATAATTATATATATACAAGATTCAGATTCAATGTGAATCTATAAAAGGGATGTTTTTGGTACTTTTAAGTATGGAACCAAAACCCAAGAAATGAAACAAATAAGTGGCTCATTGGATAGGTATCTATAACACGGAACTTTTTGGTACTTTTTCATGATTCAAATGGTACTTTTTGAATTTTCTATAATATTGAAGCCAGAAATATAAAATTTAACATACAGGGAGTTTTTGGTACTTTTTCGTTATTCAAATGGTACTTTTTCTTCTTAATAATGAACATAGTACCATAAAACTAAACATAATGGGTCTCGATTTAATAAGAATTTATAAGAAGGGAATTTTTGGTACTTTTTCAAATGGTACTTTTTGAATTGAAAATATAAATATAAACGTAAACCTGCAATGTAACTGACGATATGCTTTAAGAAAAAGCTCATATGAGAAATCATGAAAAAAAAACTTAAAAGTATTTATCACTCAGACATTTCCTTTTTTACTTTGATAAACTGTAAACTACTTAGTAGAGAAACAAAATAATTAAGCTTAAATTTACACAACTAACAAAAAAAAGCAATTTTTATTATTTACTGGGAAATATATTTAAATTAATGGCGTTCTATTGTCATTTCACTTTTAGATTTTCACTTCAAAAGTACGAGTATGTCATCAAATGATGCCTATAATCGTAGTGAAGAACAAAATGGAGGCAATGGATCGGTTGCATCTTTTAGCGGCAGTGCGGGGCCGAGCACCAGTAAGCCAAACATATCACAAATACAGCAACAGATAGTACCGAATGAAGAGACACACTTAAGAGGTGATTCAAAACAGGCCTATTTTAGTGATGAAAAAGTTTTGATACCCGAAACCGATAAGGTAAGTAAATAAATCTTTATTTTTTGTTGTTGTAAAAGTTAAAAAAATTTTAATTTATTATTTATTAAGGTGGGTTTCAGTTGGCGTAAATTATGGGCCTTCACAGGGCCCGGTTTTCTAATGTCAATTGCGTATCTTGATCCGGGTAACATTGAATCTGATTTACAAAGTGGTGCAGCAGCAAAATATAAAATTCTCTGGGTTCTCTTGTGGGCGACCGTGTTGGGTTTACTAATGCAACGCTTGGCTGCAAGGTATTAATTTTTATTATTATTATTATTATTGTTTAACAAATAATGTTAATAATTCTTTTTATTATGCTAGACTGGGTGTTGTAACTGGTCTACATTTAGCTGAGATGTGCTATCGTCAATATAAAAAAATTCCCCGTTTTATATTATGGATTATGATTGAAATCGCCATTATAGGTTCCGATATGCAAGAGGTCATTGGTACGGCTGTAGCCATATATTTACTATCGAATAAAGTGTAAGTATTTGCAATTATAATTTCATTTGTTAGTTTTTTTTTGTTTTTAATAAATTGTGATTTATTTTTAATTATAGAGTTCCTTTGTGGGGCGGTGTTTTGATAACAATTATCGATACATTTACGTTTTTGTTCTTAGATAAATATGGTCTGCGTAAACTAGAATTTCTATTCGGTTTTCTTATCACTGTTATGGCTGTGACATTTGGCTATGAGGTATTTATAAAAACATTAAATACATTTTTTTTGTCAAATAGATTTAATCTGAAATTTTAAGAATTTATGAGAATTATTTTGTGAAGATTATCAAATGTTTGAGAAGTCTCACGTATTTATTATTTATAACTTTTATTGAAAGTAATATTTTTTAAAAGTTTTGCTAAAACAAACATTTTTAAAACCACTTTAGTCATAACGCATAGTACACCCACCAAAATCGGCTCAAAATCGTTTTTTGGAGTTGATTTAGTGATGTCCGTCCATACGTCCGTCCGTCTGTCCTTGTAAGCTGTTATCTAGATACATAGATATATCACTATATAAATCGGCACAACTAAGTTTTTTATAAACCTAGAGGATATTGAAAATGTTCTTAGTGATTTGACTATACCTTGACCCCTTCAGAAATTTATGTCGAAACTCATTTCTAAACATTTTTATAGATGTAGTTGCAGAGATCGTAAACTTTATATATTGCTGTAGTTCAGGGGGTAGTATTCCACAATCATTGATAGAAATATTAGTCCTACACCCACCATAAAGTGTAATAATCTTCTCAGAATCCTTTTCGGAATTGATTTACCGATGTCTGTTCATCTTTCCTTCTGTAAAGGTTTGATTTCTAAACACTTTTATTGATGTAGTCATAGGGTTCGTAAACTTTATATATTCCTGCAGTTCGTGGTAGCATTCCACAGCCCTTGATTTGACCTATTATTTAGAGTTACCCTGGATACAGAATTTAGCTACAGCTTAGCTGTCCTAGTAGGACATTACTTCGATTACTAATGGGCTCTGTAATAGATTAATTCTGTGGATCTGAATAACTATTTCCTTAAGTACAATAAAAACCAAGTTCCATGTGTCCACTTTATCGATTACTAGGAGAGAATATAGTGAGCTTCTTCTGCTTTACAATAAGAACATTTGCAAACAACTTTCGTATAGACTTTAATACAAATTACTGTCTTTTTCGGATGCAAGTACCACTTGTTGAACTGCTAGTAGAAATTTAAAACTAAAGCATCACCTATTGGATCTATACATGTCGTACGTGCTTTATTGTTTTTCTTTCTGTTTACAACATTGAACTTTTAAAGTAATTTATTTAAAAATTAACCTATTTTTTTTCAAATATAAAAATTTTCCATTAAATTTTCTTGCAAACTTTTTCCGCGAATTTATTCTTATCTTAATTTTTTTACAATTTAAATATTTAATAAAGACACCTGTCACAATGAACTTTATTGTCTGTTTTTTCTGCGAAAAAAAAGTTGTCACATTCTTATCTTTAACTTGGAAAATAAGATATAAACTACATACTATAATTAATTTAAAAATTTACTTTGATGCTTCTAACTTAATAATTAGTATAATAGTTTGTGGTGTGCCCTACACTATTTAGATAAAAGTCTTAAGTTTGAGAAATGATTTGTAATGACTTTAGGAGAAGAATACATATTTTTCAAATGATCCGTTTAGTGATCGCAATAGCATGCAGAAACGAAGTGCCTATGGCCATAATACTTAACGGTGGATTTTAGAATGTTCGACCGTTTAATCGTTGCCTACATTAGACAAGGCTTGAAGGCCCTAAAAGAACCGACCTGTGTCATTCATATAAAGACCTCTACATTGAATGTGTGGTCAGTAGACTATCTGGTCCGAGCTGACTTTCTACTTTTACTTTTTTTCATTCGTAACTGTTGGAATAACTCTTTAATTAAACTTTTAAAAGTCCTATCGAAGCCATATGATCTAAGAAGACCTATAAAGTTCCGCATATATTTGAAAACGGAAGTGCAACTTACTAGTTGATTCCCTTCTCCTAAAAGTGGGAACTAATTTAAGCTAGTTCGTCTGAAAATATAACAATATCTCGTAATTTTATCGTGAAACAAGCGTGATTTTTAGTGCTTGTTTTACGGGCGAAATCTTAGAGAATATAACTCGGTGTTGATGCAATCGCCGATACTCATCCCAGACTGAGTCTTAAACATATTTATAGATCACGAACTTGTCCTCTTAAATGAGCGTAATGGAGATATCTCTCTCTAAGACCCTATAAAAGCAGTCGATCTAGGGCATTTCAACTTGATTTCAATCACTTAAAGGTGGAACTTTAGTTACTTTGTTTGAACGGATTTAAATGTCCGGTCATTACATCATGAGAAAGTGTCGTATTGGTACCAAACAACGACTGAATACATTGAACCAACAAGTCATTTCTTGTTCTTAAAATAATTGGACCTTCGCTATGGGACGACCGAGTCATCATTGATCAAAGATGGTGAACCCAATGACAGCTGTATTAACCGAAAGTTTTTTCCTGTTATAATAACATTTTTAGTCCCAGTCTTGGATCCATCATATTTTAGGGTTTTTCTTAAAAAATCATACTGGACTATAAAAGAGCCATGTAAGCCGCGATAACTAGCATGTTTCTGCTGTATATTAGACTGAAATTCTATTAAATAATCATCATTAAGCAATTCTGATATCGTTTCTAGGAGTGATTTGACTTTTTATGATCAAGATCTCAGAGCATTAATCCAGCCCATGGAAACACACTTTTGGGAGTCAGGTGCTTTAATTCTAGTCTTGGATTTAAAGCTGATCTTGCCTCAGTGATCGTTCCTCCGAAACGAATAGAATAAATCGCCCTTACAATGTGAAATAATACAGATGTTGTACACTCCCCAGAAAGAGATTTAAGGCTCTTTTTATGATCGAGATCTTAGGCTGGATAATGCTAAATCTCTCCTACTTTTAGAACTCATACAAAAATCAACTTTCAGTCTTACATCTGTATAGATCTAAAACGTTTTATCCAAAGAGAATCCATCCAAAATCGTAGGTTTTGTTGAGGTCACCCGTGTTACATTCTTTTTTCAAATGTGTATTATAAACTTGATCCAAAGTTGACAGTTTTAAAGATCTTTTTATTGAGGATATCTCTGGATAACGTTACATCTGTCCAACTTCTAGAACACATACAAAAGCTGAGAATCAATATTACATCTGTATAGATCTAAAACGTTTCATCCGAAGAGAACGCATTCAAAATCCTAGGTGGTCCGTCCTTGATCATCTGACTATAGTCGTGAAGTATGGAAGTTAGAAATGTTTGCTACGTTTTTAAAAGCTGAAATACTGGTTCTTGTCGTCATGTTTTGTTTCAGATGTGTGAACATCAGATTGTTTAAGATCTGTTGCATCAGAACGTCGTCTGTGGGACACTCTTTTTTCACATTTTATTATAAACTAGACCCCAAGTTGGCGGAGATCTCTCGATAATATTACATTTCTGCTACTTATAGAACTCAGTATTACATCTGTATTGATCTAAAACGTTTTATAGAAGTAGAACGCTTTCCATATCGTAGGTGTTCCGTCCGCGATCATCTGAATATACTCGTGAAGTATGCAAGTTAGGAACGTTTTCTAGGTTAGACGCATATTCAGTATTTAAAGGAGTACGTTTTCATAAGATTATTAGTGGATTTCATAATCTTTTTATACCCACCATCAAAAAAGATGGGGGGTATATTGATTTTGTCATTCCGTTTGTAACACATCGAAATATTGGTCATAGACCCACAAAAGTATATATATTCTGGGTCCTCATTAAATTCTAAGTCGATCTAGCCATGTCTGTCCGTCTGTCCGTCCGTCCGTCCGTCTGTCTGTCTGTCTGTTGAAAGCACGATAGAGTCCCAATGGAAAGAGCTAGAGGGTTGAAATTTTACATAAATATTTCTAACAGGTAAGGTTTGTTTGGTATTGAAAATGGGCAATATCGGTCCACATTTTCTGATAGCCCCCATACAAGTGGCCCCTCGAAAAGCAGCTTTAACAGCCATAACTTGTTTAAAAATACGAATATAGCGATAAAATTCGGCATATGGAAGTTTCTTATGATCCAAAATCATTATGCAAAATTTTATGAGGATCGGTTCATACCCCTATATAAGGTCCCCTTCAGAAAATGACTTTAACGCTCATTACTGGCTTAAAAATACTAGTATATAGATGAAATTCGACATAAGTAACTTTCATACGAGTCAAAATCTATCTAAAAAATTTTATGAGGATAGGTCCATGATTGACTCTACCCCCCATATAAGGTCCCCTTTAGAAAATGACTGCAACGCTCATTAATGGCTTAAAAATACGAGTGTAGGGATGAAATTCGACACAAATAAATTTAATACGAACCAAATTCTGTCTACCAAATTATATTAGGATCGACCCATAATTGACCCTACCCCCTATATAAGGTCCCCTTCAGAAAATTACTTTAACGCTTATAACTGGCCTAAAAAATACGAGTATATAGATGAAGTTCGACATAAGTAAGTTTCATTCTAGTCAAACGAGGTTTGATGGTGGGTATATAAGATTCGGCATTGCCGAATATAACACTCTTACTTGTTATATTTCAATTGATTAACTTCCAAAGTGTATTTTGATG